GTAATAGTTCCCAGGATCGACTTTCTATTAACCTCGGCATTGGAATATGAATGCGTCACCAGCGCGAAAACTTCTTGAGGTTTTTTGGATAAATGCCAAAAACCCTACAATGAATAGCAGGGACGAATGCCCGGAGGTCATACCCGACCTGATCCCGTATGTTCGCATCGATTTTTGTTGTGGGATGGTGCAGTCGTCAACCACATGCGACTATAATCAGCTGTGCTAAACTTCCTCATTGGAAGTCACGAAAAAAGCGGTGGGTTTTTCGAGAAGCTGTTGATCGTGTATTTACCAAAGAGTCTTTCGTCTTTGTGTAAGTGTTATTGAAGCGTTTGGCCTAGTAGATTGTATATCAGTATACCCTTCCAGGCTCTGAAGAAGGCGATACTGCCGAAACGTCAGCTAGCGTTGTATTGTATTGTGTTTTTATGGAAGTAAATGTATGCTGTTTAAAAACCTCGCGATTGCTGAACAAGAAAACGACACGTTATCAACAGTGTTAACAAGGAATGTTTCCCCACAAGATGCACCTCACAATAACGTTCCATCTAAACAGTATGTAAGGGTGGTCACTTATTTCGATCCGTCGTTAGCACTAGTACTAATAGCATTTCACATTCAGTGATTCACTATATCCGTCTATTCTGTCCAGAAGAATCAAAACGAACGTTCAGGGCGTCCAATGACAGGAAGATTTTTTGCAAATAGATATTTTTTTTCCCGAACTTGCCCATACATTAGAAGAATGTAATGGTTTGTTGTTGCAGCAGAACAAATACATTATGGAAGTACTGTTTTAGTATAATGCGAAAGACTGTCTTAGAAACTTAAGATTCGATCGTACCTCATTGATTTTCTCACCAGCTTACACAGCTGAGCTATGTGCCCAGTTTTTGTGTAAACTAAAGCTGATTTTTTTTTTTGTCGAATTGTCTTTTTTTATAATCTCGAGATGTATCTCTCTCTCTGATTAATGCGTTCCCAGGTTGTCGTCCTTCCAGACAGTTTACCTATTCATGGATCAGTGGGAAGTTCATCTCCTTATGACCAGGCATTCTCTCCCCAGATATATGGCGATTTATGGCAAAGATTTACTCCTAGTTGTATTTTCGGATGGAGATGTCTTAATCGTCAGCGTAAGTGTGACGGCTGTAGACTGAGATCTCCGATGTGAATCGCCGTTCAGTAGTTCCTATTGATCTGGTTTTGTAAATTTCGGGAATTTTAATATTATTAATATTACAATCTTAACCTTTTTTATTTACTGCCTATTCTTTTTAACGGCAGGGTATTTTGCGAAATATATCTACTGACGGGGAATTGCTGATGGCAAAAGATCGATAGAACTAGCTAACTAGCTGAGAGACAGGCGAAACGAAGGACCCGCATGGTGTGGTGGTGAACGCGTTACTCCCCGGAAAGGACAACAGCGCGTTCGTTCCTCACCGCAGACACCTGCTGCAGTCCGGAGTTTTGCAAATATCTCAGCATTATAGTAGTTGTTATTAATATTATTTCTGGATGGCTTCCTAGTTGGGAAATCGGCGTCTACAATTCCAATAATAGGATTCTTAGCAGTTGAAAATTTGCAGGTTCAAGTCAAATTGCCACCAGATACCCCAAATTTGCGTGGTGATTGGCTCAAGGCCATAAATGAGGGCTGTTGCAATGCTGTCCACAATGGACCTGTATTGGGATTTCCTGTTCAAGATGTTGTAATTACTCTGAAGGCGATCACCACTAGTGGTGGACGTGTGAATCCTGCAGTCTGTGAGTGGTGTTTCGCCTGTTTTACCTTGGAATGAAACTATTTTGCGTTTTTTATTTAGGATGTATGGTACTGCGTTCGCAGTTGTTAATTATACTATTAAGTCTTATTTCTGAGCACAAATATTTTGCACTAATCCCATAATCAAGATATGAATCCCATCATTTTTACAGTATCGTCTTGTGCACACAAATGTGTCACCGAGGCGTTTAAGTGCGCGAACGCCCGATTGGTTGAACCAATCGTGCAGGTTGATATCGTCCTGGGAAATGGCGCGGAAGCACACACAGTACTGCATGAGTTGACCCGGCGAAGAGCGGATATCAATAATTGTTGTGGAACTCATTGTGAGTAATTAAGTGCACTTTTGGCAGTTTCTTACCACTCCTCAATACCAGTAGCCTGAAGATCTAGTAAGGATTTTTTGATATTGTGAAACTAGATACTGATTTTTGAGAAAAATGCAAAAATTTTTCAGTGGGAACAACTATAATCCGTGCACATATGCCTGTATCGGAGATGACTGGTTTCCCAACTACGTTACGAACACTGTCGTCTGGTCTCGCGTCATTACATGTACAAATTGCCAACTACCAAATCGTTTCAGTTCATGATCAAATAACTATCGTTAACAGATTGAAGGGACTTAAGTGAATGTATTTGAAATTGTGCTATCGTCTAAGTTTTATAATTGATCGCTTACTACATAGCGCCCGAAGCTGATTTTTCGACAGATGGTAGTAGACAGTAGTTCTCGACCGCTGGAGTATATGGAGGGTTGAAAACTTTGAGGAGTTATGGAAGACTGTTCCATCGTCAGTTCAAGTTCCACCTAGAATTAAAATTCTTTAAAAGTTTTGAAGGGAGTTTTGATTTCCAAAATCTTCAACGCCATAGCGACAGGCGCAGGTGATGCGTTGGGGACACTACTGTGTGTTGATGTGCGAAATCCTGCTTCTTAATTTGCTTTAACGCTCGAAATACAACAGAAGTAATAGGGAGGAAATCGCTTTATATTCTCTAGAAAAATTGAATTTTCGAAGAAGAGTTGTGGAATCTGCTCATTCCTAGTTTCATGCGGCTTGGTTAATGTTCATAACGCAGACAAAAACAGACTTCCCGCCTCCCCACTACTGCAAATATTGCCTGTCCTCAACCTTGTCCTCATTTCTCCGAGATTAAGAAATTGGTACCATACCCATTTGTGACTATTCTTAGCTTCGCCTCGGCAATATTTAAGGTATCCTGACGTCGCAGATTATGAATTCGAGGTAACAAATAGGATTAAGGATTTACTAGGATACACCAATCGACTATATCCTGTAAAAAATTAGATTGAAAAGAAATAGTTTTTATTCCAAACGAAAAACTTCAACTAGTTGAGCTATTGTTTTTGCACCGAGTGCATTGTGCTCAGTGCATGTGGGGCGTTCTTTTAGCTACTATACGGATTGTAATTGTGCCATTTTCGAGCTTGTTTGGGTCTTGAGTTTCTTTGTCCTGATATAGAGAATGTTATTTGATGCTCAGAACAAATGTTTGATATGTTTTACCTATTCAAAGCATTTAATTCCATTGTAATGTGTTTCTTTTATTTGTTTACCTCCATATTGTTGTCTATTTTTGAATGAGGAATACTCCGGGCTCAGTGGACGCCGTTGATTTTTGAGCTTGTGTGTACTGGCCATATATTCCGGAACAACTAATCACAAGGAAATCCTATCAGAACATCTCATCAGTTTTAAGGAACATGATGGATGAACTTGCTTTTTTAATAAAAGGGTACGATGGTGTTGTAAATTCGCGGGATAAATTCAAGTGGTTGTGTTATATGTTCGAAGTATGCAGAGAGAAACCAGTTCGACTAAATGGCGAAAAGGTATTTTATCTGCTTTTGTACTCTATATTTCTCTTTCTTGAGTTGGAACGTAAATCATTGTGACAAGAAGTTTTCTAACCCAAGTTTAGGTGAGCGCTGATTTTCTGCACGCAAGTCTACTCATTCGATTGCACCATCTTGGCAGGGAGGAGGTTAGAAGTGAGGTCAACGATTTACTGAGTCAGTGTTATGGGTTATAAAACCGTTCTACTTTATAATGTTCTCATCACTTTAATATTTTTAGACCACTTGCGAGAATTCGACGCACAGTTGTATTATTTTGTTCTTGTGGCCACCTACCGACTTTCTGACAAGTGCTTGTCTGAGAGCCTTGGAGATTTCGCCGGCAAAAAATGGCAGGTAAGACTCTGTTTACTGCTATTTATCGTGGTTTGCATTACTAAACGATTTTATGCTTAATTGAAGGCAAAGTAGAATACTATTAGTAGAACTGGGTTGTACAGAGGGTAACACGTGAGCTCCCAGAAGAGTAATTGTGGGTTTTAATCTGGCCTGAGGTATGAGTTTTGCAATTATTTCAGCATACTTGTGGTTGTATTTCATATAAAGATGACGTAATGTAGTTACTTTTTATTTACTACGTATTCTTTTTTCCTGGTAGGATATAATATGAAATATTACCACAACGGTGCTGCGATGTTTACAAAACTTCGGACCGCAGGTGTCTGCGGTGGGGATCGAACCCGCTATTATCCTTGACAAAGGATGACATGGTTTTCATAGTTTCTGCTCATGTAAGAAGAACTTAAACTGATTAGTGACCAGGCTACATCGCATTTCTCCAGGTGGTGGACAAGGTTAAATCCAGGTCATGTACTTGTACATCCTATATACAAGTATTGTATACTCAAACAGCGCTCTTCGTGCATGCACACACGCAAGCCATATGTTGTACGTCGATTCGGACAAAGCCCAATCAAGTTAGAGTGAAGTACGTGGGAGAATCTTCTGTATCCCCTGTGAGAAATTCGGACATTCCCACTTCGAGGCGGTTCGAGTGTGGCTATATTGTCGTGCTAAGCGTTAAAAACGAAGCACCTCATGAGGAGGATATGATTTTCTTCGCTTTTGTGTGCGTGCTGAGCCCACTGGAGTATTCTGGCATTTGAAAAAGATGAATGAAGAGTTTTTTGGAGCTTGTTTTAGTCATTCAGTGATTAACGCTTTTATAGATAGATGGTGGTCTGAATCCGTGAAGTGCTATGCAAGATCAAGTGAAAGTAATTTTGTGGATTTTAATGTCTTGTACACAGATTGATGAAGTAACACACATGTTTTCTCCTACTTATCACTGAAGCAGATGAATACCCACCGGTCTGTTTTTCTTTTCCTGGCGTCTGAGTTATCCAATGGGTTAATTCCCTGTCAAGCTCCACTAGAGTGTAAGATCACGCAGGATTTTTCATGGAAAGGCTCCATCAGGCTATCACTAATCTTCGTCACATGTATAATAGCTCTGATTTTCGAGACTGGTTCAGGTGGTGACGTCTCAGGAGCTGGGAATTCAGCGTACAAGTTTTCTAGTCGTACGTTAGTGAAGAGGAAAATTGTGGGATCGCGGGATTGAGCGTATAACCGGATATTGTCCTTCTACCCGTTACTTTCTAGAAGTTCTTGTACTTTCTTCTTTTTTTCACTATCTTGCCAGCTGTGCAACTAAGCCGTCTACTTAAGAATCCAGGTAAAGATCAGTTCCGTTTCCCATGACCGTAGTTTTTCTTATGTTCATTTGAAGACCTATCTTTTCACATCCCCCATCGAATTTGATATCGATTTCTTCTAATGCTTAATGTGAAAATCTCACTACAGACTTCACCTTTCTTGCAAAAACCGTTTCTGGTTGGTGTTCCATTAATTTAGAAACTTTCGGACATGTACGGCATAAACAGCTTAGTCGATGTGTTAACGAGGAGTGTACGTAGATGCTCCAAATGTTTTCTCGGACCAATCCGAGCATGTCGGACTTCGGAAATGGGAAAGCTAGAATAACATATCCGTTCTCCCTAGCACGATAAGGAAGAATGTGGACGTTGTTACTGTGTGTTTGTTGATCGGAGTTAATGTCTTGTATGATTTTCTTCATTGCTTTTTTTAATGTAAAGACTCTTTAGCATATCGGACTGCGATCTTATTGATTATATTGTTAGCAACATCGTTGTAGATGCTATCCCTGACTTCCGCAACTCCAGGCAGTATTGTCCTTGCTGTCTTTACCTTCTTTTGTTGATTCTCTACAGAACTTTACAAGTTCGAATGCTTGCACGGTACCTTTTGCTCGTTGTTGGTGAAAAATTCTTCCAGGTGGTTCCAGGGATAGCTTGCGTACATACATTGTACGTGCGGATATTCAATAGTGTTAAGCTTTTGTTAACTGGGGATGTCTCTGACATTTAGTTGTATCTCCTCACTGGATACCATACCAGATCTTCTTTGCTTTAAAAATAAGAACTGGATTGATTCCTATTGTTTTTGACAAATGATACTAAATTGCCTGGTAGGAGGGGCCGAGTATATGTACCTATGAATGGTTTGCATTGCTTTCCTGTAGTAGGCAACTTTTTGGGTTCTCTCGGAGTATATGTGGGACTTAGTTGCTAGCAAGCAATTCTAACCGCCCGTGTGTTTACCTCCTATTTCCTTAGTTGAAAATGTCTAGCCAATTTGACGTGTAGCCCAAAAATGATGCGGTATATATAGTTTGTTTTCTATAGGTTAAATTGTCTATTTCCAGCATTTCTTCGATCTACCCACTACTTACCATGATAGCTCATATGGGTTTTCTCCTGTGCCTTGCTTGTTTTGGGACATTACTCCTGTTCTCAATGACGATCTCATTGTTCCAGACCTTTTGAACGAAGGTTTTTGTCTTGGTCTCACTAGTTGCTTCATGGAATATTTTTTCACTTTTCCTCTCAGATCCAATTCAATCTGATGCTATTTGTCCGCTCGATTCACGAGGGGTAATCACCGATCTGTACTCGGAGCTGCTGAGCAGCGATGCATTGCGCATTGTTGACCGTGAAGGTGGTGAGATAATATTTGGGTTTGCATTTTAATTTTAAATTCCTTTTGTGCTGATTTTTAGGGTCCTCATATTTTCTGTGTTTTGGTCCGCAAGCAGCAACATTGGCTCTACTCGACATGTTCGCTGGAGTCAGTTCAGATATTTTCCAAGAAGAGGTCTCATTTCCTGTATATTTGGTGGTTTATTTCTGGATTTTGTACCTTTTGTTTCATTTTGGACTGGAACCAGGAATGGGTTTTATTTCGGAACTCGTATTGATTATTTATAATACTTACAGACATTTCTCATATATCATTTTAACACTCTAACTCTGCATGAATTAATTTCCACTGTCTTCTCTGTTGTGGTTTATTTTGTTGCATAATTTTTTCCTCATATATCTTCTGTATTCAGTCAATAGCTTGTAGGCCACCCATGTTGTATAATGCGTGCAGTACCAGGAAACATCACTTCTTGGATACTTGGATGGCCCGTCTTCACTGGTTGTGCGGGCCTCATAATCTCCAATTTTTCGTAGTTTTGCTGGTTTAGCCGTTGTGGTTCCCTGCAATCCCGAGGTCAGTCAGGCCATAGTCTGCCCCAGGTCTTCATCACCACAGGCGGTCGCCGTCCTTGTGAATCAGCGGGAGATTTGCCACCACGCGACTAGTTTGATATCAGGACGGTGGTGGACTCTGGCATTGGTTTACTCTTAGCTGGGCTTCCTAATAGAATCGCGGGACTCCTTCTCAACTTCGGAGACGCTACTGCGAGGCTGAATCTCCCGCTGTACATCGCAGCTCGAGACCCAGTAACACCTCCTAGCGACAATGAGGCGATAAACTGTTGGGAGGAACATCATTTCTTACACTTTGTAACTAGGAGAAAATCTATTCGTGCATGCCAGAGGCTAACCTGTTGATAGCGAAGTACGGTGGCTCTGTGGCTCTTCAGGTGGGTATTGAAAGACTCTAATAGAGTGTTCATCGGCCGATATACTTTCATGCAGTGTATTATTTTTTATAACGGTGTAGGTTTTGACGTGATTCAACTGTGGGTGCATCCAGAGGTGCGCAATAATGCCAAAATATAGTCAGCGTTTGCTCCGAACCCAACAAAAATCTCACGGAATCGCTGTTTTGAATGGTCGACGAGAATTTTTTCGTCACACACAAGAATTAAAAATAGCTTGGAAACATGGAAGGATAAATAGAGGTATTTAGAGGATAACTACGATATGGGAAGCAAGGAGTCTACCAACAAAACAACTGAATAAAATTGAATTATGGTGTGAAAAATACTATTACGATGCGGTAATTTATTTGAGGGAAGAGCGGAGTGGCAAACACGATTTGTGTTCAATTCTGCGTTGAGGCAAAAATTAGTCGTTACGTGTGGCAACAAATTAGGCACAGCGATTTACGTAAAAGTTAACGAGTATTATTTCTAGCATTATTAAGATTTCTATCACATCTTCCGTTCGGTAATTCTAGGATGGCAATTTCTATCTGGCTAATAACTGTAAGCTCGAATCTTGGAGTGTGTCTCGAACTAGAGCTGTGCTAGCAAGCAAAACTGAGGCCGCAAACAGGTATTGTTGTTTTTCTTGTAATAATATACTATCAGAGAGCATTTAACAAGTTGCTACCACAGAATCAGCTCCTTGCGCCATTGTGTTTTCGAGAAACTTGAGAACATGGAGAAGTGTAGGCTGTGTGATATTCTAAAATCAACTCTACACAAGATAAATGAACTTTTCAGGTCGGTTTTAGAGAGTTGTTGCTTCCGCTTATTCTGATGATATCTTATTTGCCAGGTTCATATTATTTTAGAAACAGTCTTTCTCAAGCAGCCATTGGCACTCAGAAAAGTGATAAATTTCTGGACTTGGATGACTTCGACCGAGTAGTTGAATCACAAACGGAAATTTTGAGTGTCTGCGAGCAAATAGTTCAGCGGGCTAGTATCGAGGTTAAAGCATGCTATTTCGCTATGCTTTTAAAATCATTATTTAGAACGGTCACTAAAGAGCTCTACAAGAAGAGAACATTGAACACCAAAAAAAAGATGAATTAAGGCGTTGCTTCAAAAAAGACTATTAATATAGCTCGTTAGTAAAAACAACGAAATGGCATGGAGATTTATTAGACATAATATCAATAACCACCTAGGAATGGCCGGTGTTCTAGTAGCAAAGTAATCCCAAAGTGGGAAACCTTTCTTTGGATGAACAACACCCAGGAACTGCATGTGATGACGACCTGAGAACACCTTAGTAAACCTAACTCGAGATTCCATGGAACACAACTAATTCAGTCAGCAGTGACTTAGCCTCGTTGAATAAATACCTAATATGATAATATAGAATATAGATATAGAATAATATAAAAGAGGTGCTACGCCTTCATTCATCTTGCCTACTAGTTCAACAACATAGTAATCCCAGAGTACTTGGAGAGTTCGATTGCCCGTCCTCACTAGTTGTGCGAGCCCCAGCATAATTTCCATTTTTCCGGAGTTTTGCTGGTTTAGTCACTGTGGTTCCCTGAAGTCCAGAGGATAGCATGTCCAAAGTATGCCAACGTTGTCACCACCACAAGCAGTTACCGCCCTTGTGGATCGGAGGGAGATTTGCCACCGTGCGACTAGTATGATACCATGACGTTGGTGGATCCTGGTATTCGTTTACTCAGAACTGGGATTCCTGATGGAAACGTTTGACACCTAAGCTTGAAAGACCTTGCTGGAGGGATGAATCCCTCGCTGTAAATCGCAGCTGGACACCTTGGAACACCTCCCATGCATGATTAGGTGGCAAACCATTGCGATGAATACCACAGTAGTGCATTATAGTCTTACACTACGCCACTTATTGCTTTATGAGCTTTTCCACTATTTTTTCAATACTATACAACCAGTACAGGTGACGCAGCTCGTGTTTCTGATTCGTTGTTTCCGTGATTCCACACTCGAGAGCCATGCTTATGCTGCATACGACCTTCTTCTTCGAGGACTGGTCACTATCATAGCTATGTTGGCTTTTTCTTCCACTTTTTTCCGGTATTTGACCGACTTATTATGAAAACAGAACATTTGGTTCAGTTCTGTGTGTGTTTTCGTCAACACCGGTCGTTGTGACTTTTCGGATCGAGTTTTTATTGAAGCTACACCAGCACCGTTGTCTTCGGATAGAAGTGAATATGGTGAATAGAATAAAAATAAGTTCGAAAGTATTATCAAGTCTTCTAAAATTGTTCTATTTATACAGCAATACAAAAATCTGATCAGATAATAGACTTCTTGGTCATAATTACAAGTGGTATTTGTTGTACATGTAGAAGATATAAGAGGAATTTTCATTTTGGAGAATAATCTTGTGCATAAATGCCACCGCTTTCGCTTAAAAATGAACAATTTTGCAGGCGAAATTTGGGAGTCCAATCTGAATGTCAGCCTTCCCAGCTCTCCAGATCTGCCTGTGCGCCTTTGCCGTGCTGTAGTGAAACAAGGTGTTCTAGTTCGTCTTTTAAGAACTGCTAGAGATACAGATTTTGAAGGCCATGTCAACCTTTTATCGCTGTACAATATCGCAGGCACGCAGGTAATTGTTGCACTCTATTTAGCATATACACTCAGGCAACATATACTTGTGAAACATTCTTTGATTTTCAAGCATTTCAGATAACAACCGATACGCTCGAAGAACTCAAAAAAGTCTCGAATATAGTGGAAAATATGTTGAAAGAGGAAGTTGACGTAGAAACGCTTAAGAATTTGGTAGAGCTGGTTGTTAGGTGCGAGCTCAATTTGTCAGCAGCTTACGTGTGTCCATCCCAGCTGTTTTGTTTTCAAGGAAACAATTGGTTTATCCATCATAATAACTATGATTTTAGCTCCTCTTCAATGTTCAATATCTGTGCTGTCGTCACCACGGCTATCCTTCGTGATGTGCGCCGAATGTCTGACGTTATCAGACACCTAATCTTCTGTGCTGGTATTGATGGTTTTGGCAAAGGGTAATTTTTTCTGCACTAATTTATCTCTCAGTGTAAGTGTAGAATAGTCGATGTTTTTCGTTGTTTTGACCTTCGCAACTTGTGCATATTCCAGTTACATGACTCATTATCACATTTTACTGTTCGGATTCCAGCACTTCCTGCATTCCATTGGTTTTCTTCATACTCTTCGTCCACAAACGTTTTCAAACATTTCGCGTGTTGTTTCAGCTGCTGCTTGAGGAGTTCATCTTTTTCATGAACGTCGTAAAATTCTGGTCGAGCGAGTTATCCTTGCACTCTCGGAGATAGACGAGCTAAGGTGTTTTCATATGGAATGGAGGAGAGTGTTGAGTCGTGGATCGAACTAACGCCTTTGCCCCCTGATCGACGTCATCACTAACCATTGCGCGGTCCCCGCCTTGTTTGGTAACATTTTTGAGCGTAATTCTATGTTGTGTCTATGAACAGATACTTTAGCCGAGTATTGTCGAGGTAATAGAATGGTAGAGAATACCGTTCAGTACATTCTATTCAACCTTGCGCTAATCCCAATCAATCCTCCCACTTATGAAGATTGTAGCAGAATTATCTAAAAACAATTCCACTCCATTCCACAAGGACTGACTGGTGAAGACTTGGGAGCGCCGTATCACAGCTTTCCTAGTATTCATGGGAGAATCGACGCAACCACCAACAATCAATCAATTCATTAAGATAAGAAAAGAAGCTCTCGGCTTTGATCAATCCCTGAGGGATGCGCCATGCATTCGATCTCATTGAGCATCGTTTGGAGGTGATTGGATGCATATGTCCTTTAAAATGGCTCACAGTGGTCTACCGATGTATCAAGCAAATGCTGCTATCATCCCAAACAAGTCTGGTACCAATTTGCCGACCCAGAGGGATGGAGAGCTTGGTGGGCCATTGGTGCGAGGACCCATTCCACGTATCTGTTGCAGGGCGCCTCCGACCACTGCGCTACATGCCCCACATTCTTTAAGAAGACCGAATAATCTCAAGCAACAGCCGAACTCATAGTCAAATTCGAAGCCCTTCATAGATGGCGGATGTGAGGAAAGGAATATGCAGCAAGCAAGGAATGCTAGAATAAGAGCAATATGTGATGGTGGCCCATGTAAAAATTTCCCCTGATGTATAAATTGTTTCCTGCTGGTATACGAAGTTGAAACCTAAGCATGTTCTCCATCTTTTTAGGCTGTCCTCATAGAGGAGCTTTCGTCCTGATAGGCTCTACCCTATTATACTTCTAGTCCACCTGTCGTCTACTGTCGACTTGTCGTTACGGTTGATGTTTCAAGTTCGTTGCGTATTCTTTGGGATACAAATGACGACTCTTTAGCTCTGGACAGCGAGATCTTAACTTCAATGATGCTGAGATATTTGCAAAACTCCGGACCCCAAGTGTATGCAGTGGAGAACGAACACGCGCTGTTGTCCTTACCGGGGAGCAGCGCACTTCACCACCATACCATCCGGGTCCTTCGTTTTGCCTCTCCCTCAGCTAGTTCTATCGATCTTTTGCCATCAGTTGATATTTTTTATTCTTTTGCTATCAGCTGAAGTTATATTTCACAATGTATACCCTGCCGTTAAAAAGAATAGGCAGTAAATAATACGTTAAAACGAGATCTTAGTTTATGCTCCATGTGGCGATTACATTTCAATGTACAACTTTCGAGCACACTATGAGTGGTGTCCAAGACTGCAGGTGATTGAAGTGTCAACTGGTCTCACTTGCATGACACAGTGCTGTCAAATGCTATAAGATGAGTCAAAAAGGTTAGCGCATCGTATTGGATCAGTCACACTGATCACCTTTTCTCGGGGAGGTACTTTCCTTGTTCTGCACAATTCTTCCTTCACTTAGTTTCCGTGCTCATTAAACGCTGTGAATTCACGCGTAGTATGGTCACCTTGATCAAGGAAGTATTCATTGATGTTTGTTTTCAATAGCACCATGCTTTTTACGAACTGAGTTTTTTCCCGACATATTTGCAATCCTACCTAACCTTTTTGTTAAGTCTTTTAACTGCATCTGCTTAGTAATTCTCGAAGGATGGCAAGAATGTGAGAAGAAGGATAACGGACAGAAATTCGTCGTCAATACTTGTGCTGTTCAAGTCCTAATCGAGCAACTACAGTAATGTTACAGTTGCAATAACACGCAAACTTATTATTTGACCGATTCACTCCTTTGATCGACGAGTGCTAATAGACATATATTTGACGCTACTAAACGCTGTTTCGTAGTCATCTAGTCTTCATCAAGAAACAGTTCTTTCCTATGACATATGATTGGAATATGATCAGTGCAAGAGCTTCATGTCTGAATCTTGTTTGCTTAACTGATTGACCTTCATCCAAAGTTCTTGTTATGTGCGATAGGGCAACGTTCGTCAAAAATTTGTAGAGCACGTTGAATATTGTGATTGGAACGATCTCTTCGCTAACCTCTGACAGGAGAGCTGTCCATCCGTACGTAAAGGTGGCGATCTAGTCTTAGATTCGTGTCTTTGCTCCACCTAATCGGTAGGTGATAGGAATACCATTTTGGTTGGTTACTGGAGGTACCAGGACATTTTAGCATAGGTCTCTCATTAAATTCGTGTCTATGGGCACTCCGTAGATAATATTCCTATTTTTAAACCATTCTAGAGAAGTGGATTTCCATAAATGAAATTTTCTATAGAGAGGAATTAGTTGAAGAATTTCTGTACTGATTTCCATCTACTACCTCAAAAATTCCGGTGTTTTACTCAATTTATTTGGTCTTTCCTATTTTGGAGTTGAAATCTCGAATTATAAATTTATGGAAGAACTAAAGCACTAGTCATTGCGGCCTACTTCCTGCAACTATCAGAACTTATCAAACACAGAGTTTGATGAATAATCGTTGATGGCAATGCTCTCGCTTTGGTGCGGTGTATTGAAGACGGAGGGTGAATAGGTCAGACGAATGAGTTTTGTATGAGACCGCCTCCGCCTGATGGCCATCATAGGTATATGGCGAAGCTTACGGCACTTCCATTTGATGACGGGATCTTTTTTCCGTGGATTATAAAAGTCTTATCGTATGTTAGTCGTTCTTGCCTTCAGAGAGGTTGTGTACATTTCATTAGCGACCATTGTGGTGTTGAGGGTATTTATTCAGCGAGGTTAATTCATTATTGACTGAGTCAGTTGTGTTCCATGGAATCTCGAGTTAGGTTTACTAAGGTGTTCTCAGGTCGTCATCACATGCAGTTCCTGGGTGTTGTTCATGGAAAGAAAGGCTTCCCACTTTGCGATTACGTTGCTACTAGAACACCGGCGATTCCTAGGTGGTCATTGATGTTATGTCTAATAAATCCCCATGTCATTTCGTTGTTTTTACTAACGATTTATACTAATACTCTTGACCAGTAAATGTCATTTATTTTTGCGCAACTAGTGCTTAGGAGTACTAATCATCCCCAATTTGTAAGAAGGAAACCTGTAATTATAGGACGATTACGAACGCTTTTGCCTTTTCAATTGTTCCAGCATCTTAATCTATCGGAAGAATGGAAGAAAGTTTCAGGGTGAGCAGACGTTCCCTTATATACAAACTAAGAGCAGAGTTACAAGCACGACGATTCGACTGCCGACATATATCAGCTATCGACATTGGTAAGCCAAACCTTCTAGGTGACTTTTTGTTTTGTTATAAAGGACTCATAATGTTTACTTCGTAATTTTTTCCAACATAGTGATAAAGTTTACCCATAGTCCCCCGTTACGACGAACGAGTCTTATTTTATTATTTGATTTATCTGATGGTCATTCTGAGAAGAATCTAATTGCTTACAGAAGATTTCTGGCGACCAAATTTATCTGTCGTTTTTGAACTCCAGTAGGACCCATAATTTTTAACTGTATTCATGTCAGAATCTGGAACACGACGGTTGCTCATAACACCCCCAGAGCCACTCTCTGTAGTGATTACGGCAGGTCATGCTCGTCGTTATGTCCGAATCTACACATTTCTGGCAGATCTAACGCGAGCTGTTACTTCTCTCAGTGAAGTAAGGAGTTTCGTTTTCAATTCCTGAAAATGTGATAAGAAAGGAAAAAATTTCTGATGAGAATGTTACTCCATTGTTATCGTTAAGGTTGAACTCCGAGAAACCAAAGTAAGTGTGAGGAATCGTCGTAAGTTGTTCGCTTACTGTTCTTCAATGTTAAGAGTGGTTACAGCTACTCGCGATCATGTTCTTACTGAGCTCGACGCGGTCTGGAAATTATTCAAGATATGTTTATAGCACTGATTTGGTATATTTTATTGACATGTTGTTTGTTTTATTTAAGATGATCTGGAAAGCGTAAATACAATCGACCATGCTATAAACGCCCATAGGTGGGTGGGAAAATTTGGATAAGCAAATATTGAATATGGGCAAACTATTTGTAGGAAAGCCATGAAAAGTATGATGCAGCGGACACTATTGGACATAGGTGGCTTAACGACTGCACGGACTCTCGGAGTGGTAAGAGTTTATAAGTATTAATTTCAAGTCTGTGTTTTGGTGTTTTAACAGGATACAGTTGGAGTGTGATGGATTTAGCGTCCATGTCTTATAGCATTCACGCTCCAGTATCCATAGGCTGTGTATGTAGTTACTCAGACTTCTTTCCTTCAGATTTGCGAAAGCTGTGTTCGATTTGCGCATGCAATGAATGCGGCCGATGAAGCGAGCTCGTTTATTCATTATACGGTCTTTGAGGAGCGAGCCCAACTACTCCGTGAAAGTACGTTTTCCTCAAACTTAATATTATGTTTACTTCTGTTTGATCAAATGGAACCTGAGTATTAGAATGAAGGCCTGACTTTCCTACATACCTACATACCTCTGCAGTCATGTTATACCAAACTACGTAATAAATTTGTTATGGGAAATATCATATGCAATGAAGGAGGGATACCTTTATTTACTTGGCTAATTGGACGACCCGTCCTCACTGCTTCTGCGGACTCCAGCATAATCTCCATTTTTCAGAGTTTTGCTGGTTTAACCATTGTGTTTCTCTGGAGTCCCGAGGTCAGCCTGGCCAAAGTCTGTCTCAGGTCGTCACCACCGTAGGCAGCCGTTTCCCTTATGCAGCAGAGGGAGATTTACAACTATGCGACTAGTTTGATATCAGGACGGTGTTGGATCGTGCTATTGGTTTACTCCTAGATCGGCTTCTTGATAGGAACCTCAGATTCCTTTTAAGTTTGGGAGACCCTGCCAAGAGGGTGAATCCCCGCTGTACATCGCAGCTTGTCACCCAGGAACGTTTCCCAGCCACTATGAGGCGGTAAACCGTTGGGAGCCTTTAGTAGGTATAAAAATAAGTTCTGTTATAAATGCTACATAGCATAAGATACGGAGGAGCGCGCATACTTGCTTTGCATTATTACATATTATGTATAAGGAAAGATCATAAGATGTGCTGTTTCGACTGGAATACGCTTAGGTATCCTAATTTTTTTATTTGCATAACATCGCATGTTGTGTGGATCCCAGCACTTACTGATTTCGACTCGCCTCCTCGCATCCATCATCCACGAAATCGTGCCGGCTTTTACGAGAATTTAGCTGTAGTTTGATGACTGGTCTTCATAAATGTCATGGAATTCTGATCGATGCTGCTTGGAGTCTTGGATGCAGACGCGCTAGAGCGTACTTGGATAATTGCGGGCATTCGCTTTTCGCTTTTTAGCCTAACTAGCTTTTTGCTTTTTAGTTTTTTTGGATTGCATGGAGCGAGCCGATCCCAGAGTCTGGTACCAATGCCCCAACATCGCAGGCGTCTCTTGGGTACTAAACACTATCACCAACAGTAGTACCTGAGACTCATGTGCAATGAGCAACACAAGATCATAGCGAGATGTGAATGTAAACTTGAGGGAATTTCTTCGATTACTATGTAGTACAGTGCTTCTTGAAATTAAAAAGAAACCGTTTCGCATTTCTAAGCCGTGTTGCTCGCGCTGCAAACACTACATTCATGTAGGTGTATGGTGAAGGACAATGATTTATCAAAAACGATTTTTATCTTCTAAAGATGGGTCTATTATTTTTGATCTGGATTTTTTTCCTAGAGTTAAGTGTGGAGCGGACCAACATATATGCGAGAATTCTATTGTGGCGGCTTAACGGCAGCGACGAATTTTTGGATGAAGAGGACTCTCCAACGACGGACGCGTACAAGTTGCTAGATCGATGCACTAGCTGATCATATCATATCTTACATTTTACACAAGCACAATTATGCCTACCGGAAGTACCTGTAGATTCCACTCGGTATACTTATAAATTTGCTCATTATTACTGAGATCTTATACTTGTACTTTAACATGAATACGATGAAACGAAATGAAATTTCCACCTATGTGGACGTTTTCTGCACTTAACTCTTTTTCTTTTTAGAACTGCTTTATCATGTCAATATAACGTATAGATTGGTAGAAAATCGGCTTCCGTACCAAATACTTTGAATTACAGTTACAACCTGTACATAATTTTGTTCAGCTTGTCATCCTAGTCCCCGAGACGAGAACCTTCGCTCTCCTCATTGAGTGAAAGGGCAAACCCCAACACTGCCTTCTCCATAGCGCGCTCTACAACGGAAAGTGATCTTTTATCATTCCTACACAGCGATGAAGTTCGGAGTTTAGTAGGATTTGTAGAATCGAAAACGTAGGCATAAAGTTAAGTGTCGTTATTTATTCAACCTATTAAATCCCCCACCTACATATAGCAGAGACATTTGAAAAAGTTCGTTAAAGCTCGTTAAAGCTGCTTCAGTATCCCTAATTAGGAAATTTGACAGTACAAAGAGATTTATCTAAGTATTAGAAAAGCTTATTGCACGGACAAGTAAGTACGTCTTAGTAGACGTCGTAACCCATCCCACCACTTGAGTCAAAAATTTCGTTAATCGGGTTATAGAAGAGACCTTGCCCTATCATCCTAAAGATATCGTGGTAACAACCTTGTGTTAGCTTATCAATGGAAAAAGGCATATTGGTCATTCATGCCGAGGTTGAATGAAAGTCGATTTAGAACATTATTGATTTTCCGTTCGCTTTGGACTAGCTAATTTAACACCGATTGCTGCAGGATGGATTGATCGTGGAGAAACAAGTTATTATCAAAGAACAATCACTACCAACAACAAACACCTTGCATAAAACAACATTTCTGGGTGAGCCTCCCTCATTTAAGCGGTGTTCCGCTGAAGAAGATCGCACTCGATACAAAGAAGAAGCCACGTGGGCATCGGCTGTGGACATGGACTCGGATCATCCCCTCTGAGGAAGTAGAAGACGTCGAGACGTTAGTCGAATAAATATTGTTAACAACTTCGCGTTAGCTTATTAATAAAAGAAGATGCGTTGTTCTGTTTTTTTAAGATTATATATAAATACATATGTTTATATATATGTATATATATATATAAATTTAGTCAACCTAGTTAAAGACTGAAGTATAAAGATGTAGTAGATCCTACAATCTCCACAAGTCGATGAAAGTCATAAGCAGAAAGTGATCAGAAGCGTTTGTAACATAACCTACTATGACACAACATAAAAATGCTGCAAAACAAAAGAAAACATACGAAGGAATAAAAACGTTTAAATTCTATCCACTGCCTGTTCCTTTTCCGTGATTGAGTATTATATGAAACACAACCACATGGCCACGGACCTCCCTCATATGAGGGATCTAGAGTCGGTTAGTCTCGAGACTACGTGGCGCGTCCCCAGTTGGCGGACGGACCAAAAGCGACTTTTGCTTCCCTGAGACGCAGGTGGATCCAGACGATACCTGTTTCTGCTGCGCTGATTTGGCACATAGTTTCTGTACTTGCTAGGCGTATTCATGCAAGCGTGTATGGGTGCGTTTTTGCTTATGCGGATTGTATTCTACGAGTCAATTCGGCCAAAAGCCTGTAATCAAGTGACTGTGAAGTATATGGGAGTTATTTGAAGAAGTCGCCTCCAACAAATAAGCTCCATTTCCACTCTGGGAGAGCCTGGCAAGCTACCCGTGAGTATACCCAGCCCCACGTTCACAGCCCAGCAAGCTATACCCTAAACATAGTAAAAAAACGACCCCATTCCCTTGGCCTCGAAAGAGCCCCGATTTGGCAGCGTTGAGTGAGACGAGTACGGAAAGGCTGCTAAATCTCAGGACCAATGGAAGCTGCTTCGGTCACGAAGAACTGAGATAACCATTTGTACCTACAATGCAGGTACCCTTGCAAATAGACCACATCACAGTAAATACAAGGTTCTGCCTAACCGATGCCGCTGTTGTCCCAAAATTCTACACGGGATGAGACCTAAATTCAAAAACGAAAGTCCCGGAACTACCGCAAACTGGGATTTATTCAATTCATTAGTCGGCTGTTGGGAAGATGCCGTTGTCGATAACATCGACGAAGAATACGATCGGCTCAATCAGCATTTTCACGTTAGTGCTATGAAAGCTGAGAGTTCGAAAGTAACCAAGAGACGTTTTTCTCCAGAAACACTCGAGGTGATACGCCACCGTGAAATCGCACGACTTGCAGGCAACAGCGAATTAACGTTCGAACTTGCAAAACAATGCAGACAGGCGTTAAAAGAAGATCTTAACGATAGAAGAGCAGTAATGGTCGAAGCTGCAGAGGCTGAGAAAAGCATTCGCAAAGCCCACCGAAGCTTCTCTAGTTACAGGACCAAAATGATTGCACTGCGGCGCCCAGACGGAACACTTACAGCGTCCAGAAAGGCAATAGAGAAAATCATTCACGAATACTACTCGGATCTCTTCGATAGCCACGTCCACCTTCTGTCATATGAAATAAAGGAGGATGGATATGTTGTACCACCACTTCTTCCTACCGAAATCCGACATGCCATTTCGTCGGTGAAAAATCGAACAGCACCAGGTCCGGACAGGATAAAACCAGAACACCTGGAGCACCCTCCTCCAGTCCTTGTAAACACACTGGCTCCGCTCTTCACACGTTACCTGTCTGAATGCAAGGTCCCTACTCAGTGGAAGACCAGCAAGACTGTGTTATTGTTCAAGAAGGGTGACCAGCACGATATCGGCATCTATCGCCCAGTCTGCATACTGTCTGTCGTTTACAAACTTTTTACTCGAGTCATCCTAAACAGGATTGACAGGATACTAGACGAAGGACAGCCATGTGAGCGAGCAGGGTTTCGAAGAGGATTTAGTACGATGGACCACATTCACACGGTAACACGGCTCATTGAATTATCGCGAGAGTACAAAAGACCGCTCTGTCTCCCTTTCATTGATTTACAGAAAGCCTTTGATTCAGCTGAGATGGAAGCAGTCTGGGAAGCACTTGATAGTCAAGGAGTCCCTACTCTGTACATAAGGATTCTTCGTGACCTGTACAAAAATTTCACAACCAAGATATCACCATTCTACAACGATATTAACATTGACGTCAAAAGAGGAGTTAGGCAAGGCGACACCATCTCGCCAAAATTATTTACCGCCACCCTCCAGAACGTCATGCGAACATTGGAATGGGATACTATGGGAGGGGAAATCGACGGTCGGGAGTTACACCATCTTCGCTTTGCCGATGATATCGTCCTTACAACGCCAAACATTAGCCAAGCGGAATGCTTGACGACTTTAATAAAGCCTGTGGAAAGATTGGTCTTCGACTAAATCTCACAAAAACGATGTTCATGAAGAAAGAATTGGTTTCGCATGCCACATTCACGCTCAACGGAACGAATATCTCCGAATGCTCCAGTTATATCTATCTAGGTCGGGAAATCAATACGAGGGCCCATTGGGCTTCGAATCCGCTATTTCCCGGGGTGTGACGTGCTGATAGCACTATTAAAATAAGAAAAACTGACTGAGAGAAAAGCAAACCAAGGGCAGCGGTTGGTGTAATGGATATCATGTGAGGTTCTGGAAACGGCAATGGAATCATAATTCTAGAGAAGTGGGAAGACACCAAATAAAACAACAGAAAATGGAGTCATAACGCTAAATTTTATTTGCTGCCTTATACAATTTTTCACGGTAGGGCATTATGTGAAACGCAACGATAATGATGCTGAGATATTTGCAAAACTCCGGACCGCGGGTGTCTGCGATGAAAACGAACGGGCTATTATCCCTTCTGGAGAATAACGCGTTCACCACCACACCATGCGGATCCTTTGTTTCACTTGTCTCTCAGTCAGTTTTCTATCCTGTTGATGGATGATTGCTGGTGGCTATGGTGGATGGACATTGGCTGAGAGAGAGGCGAAAATAGGGACCCGCAAGGTGTGGTGGTGAACGCGTTAGCTGCCGTTAAGGGTGGCAGCGCGTTCTTTCGCCACCGTTCACACCTTCGATCCGGAGTTTTGCAAATAATGGAACCACAGTTCTAAGAAAATGGGTATAAAACGCTCCTACTTGGTGACTACTGGCAAAGAATTGATGAAATCCTTGTAGACGCTCAATATATACTTCACGTCGTCTTCGTTAACACCCCAATTCAAAACCATACGTACCCTAGTCGTAGTGAAGACCATCACAAGTACTCCACGATCCGCAAAAAACTTCTGCACCTAGATGATAAATAAACATACATAAAGATCCTGGTCTAAAGAATTATGCCATATATTAGTCTACAAACAAACTTGATTAGGTGTAATCCTTTCACCACATTCCAATATTACAATGTTTGTGATACCATTTTCAAAAGCACGAATAGCCTGAAACTTAGCATTGCTTTATACAGTATGCTCCCAAATTTAGAAAATAACCATACAGGCTTCAAAGCATTTGGAGTGATGCTATTAATACCGGATGCGAGAATTCTAGCATTCGCATGATCACTCTTTGCGGTCTCCTCGGCTCTGTCAAGTGCGATATGCGCTGCTGCCGCTAACACGCCAGCTTGTCGCCAACCACCACCAAGTGCCTTCAATTTGGAAGATGGTTTAAAAATGAATCTAAACTTTAGAAAAAGAAATATGAAAATATGAAAATAACTATATGGAAACGTACGCGTAGTACAGTGGTTGGAAGTGGTGCACTAGAATACACATTGGTTGGTTCTATATCATGCACCACGATCACAAAATCTTGTATCCCCCCCGGGATGCGGGCCAGACTAATCTAGGAGGGTAGCGGCACTAAAGAGACGCATCACTGGGCTAGCGCAAGTCGTTACCTAGGTCGGATACGCATTCAATCACTTACACAATGCTTAACGAATTCCATTCCATCGGGATTGGCGGCGGATGGATCAGTGCCGAACGCCTTGATCTTTACCGTTAATGAAAACAACATCCCATATTGACTAAACAGTTCTCAGGATCGACTTTCTATTAACCTCGGCATTGGAATATGAATGTGTCGCGAGGTTGTGTTCAGCAATCGCGAGGTTTTTAAACACCATACATTTACTTCCATAGAGAAACACAATGCAATACAACACTGGCTGACGTTTCGGCAGTATCGCCTTCTTCAGAGCCTGGAAGGGTATACTGATATACAATTTACTGGGCCACACGCTTCAATGACACTTACAAAAAGACGAAAAACTCTTTGGTAATTACGTGATCAACAACTTCTCGAAAAACCCCCGCTTTTTCGTGACTTCCAATGAGGAAGTTTAGAACAGCTGATTATAGTCGCATATGGTTGACAACTGCACCATCCCACATCAGAAATTGATGCGAACATATGGGATCAGGTTGCGTATGACCTCCGGGCATTCATCCCTGCTATTCATTGTAGGGTTTTTGGCATTGATCCAAAAAGCCTCAAGGAGTTTTCGCGTTGGTGTTTTGGACTCCTGTGCAAGGATATTGACTTTTACTTCAAAATCGTCTCCGCTATGCTTTTGTATCCTATGAGTGCCTAGTGGGGTGCTTCGTCTTAGTTTTCGTTTGCCATCTAGGTGTTCTTTTATACGGATACACAAAGGTCTACCCGTTTCGCCAATATATTCATCTCCGCAATTGTTACACGAGATCGGGTATATCGTACCTGAACTCATGCAATCACCGTCCCTGCCGTAAGGGCAAATTACGCAATTTGTTGTTTCACACAGACGGTCATCCAGGCGGTTACGAACTAATTGATCACTACCGATTCTTCTAGACCTGCCCTTCTTAAGCATCGTTTTATAGCTACGCTTACTTCATCGCTTATAAAAGGCAACACAAACGGGACTTCCTTTTGGCCAAGTGTTTCGCGTGGGCGCGTCGCTCTCCTCCTAAACTTATCTCGTGGGGTTACTATTTCGTAGCCAATGGAGATGGCTATTTGCCGAACCAAGTCGCGCGATTCTTCCTTTAGTTCCCTGGTAGTGCATACAGAGGTGGCTGTTCCAAACATGTTTCTAACAATCGCCCTCTTTGTGTGTGAAGGGTGGGAAGAAAGGAAATGAACAAGAATATTCTTGCTACTTGGCTTTCGATATCACTTTGTCAGGTAACCGCTACTTGATAGGTTTATTTGAACGTCCAAAAACGGAAGCCAGTTTTTTCTCGGTTCCTCCCGGGTGAACTTTATGTACTCGGACTGTTCGTTCAATAATTCAAAGTATTTTCCATCTCCTCCTGCGTAAAGAAGACGACAAAACAATCATCTACGTATCCGCAGTAGAGTAGTGGCCGGAGATCGAGAACAGGGGCTTCTATCTTAGACATAAACACAATGGCAAGGCTTGGTGCCAATCGCTGTTCCATTGCCAACCCCCTAATTTGCGCGAAATATTTCCCAGACCATCTGAAAATCGAGCAGTTTAGGCACTCTTTTAAGAGAGCCATTAGCCGCTGGATGGACAAGCCATGCATATTTATTCTTCCTTCATGTTCAGCAAGAAGTTCGAAGATGGCTTGCATTGCGGAGTTATTTGATACGTTGATGTACAACGCGGTAACATCTAAAGACTCCATCACGTAGGCTTTATTAGGAGAGGCGTTAAGTAGACGTTCTAGGAATATTTGGGTGGTTGTGAGGTGAACTGGAATGTGGTTAAGCAACTGGGCAAGTATCAGGCTTAAAATCCAGGTTATTCTATCCGTTGGCCCGTCTACACAGCTAATGATCGGTCTAACCTTAAGTGATGACGGACTGGTTGACGCATGATCATCAGGTGATACCAACTTATGTGTTTTAAAAAATAGGTATTGGACGGAAACACTTGGCCAAAAGAAAGTCCCGTTTATGTTGCCTTTTATAAGCGATGAAGTAAGCGTAGCTATAAAACGATGCTT